AAGCTTACAAAAATTAAGCGAAAAAAACACGAATGAATTTAGAGCTTGACAAACATTTTGACACTCGCATCTTGACAGAATCCATCATCTTAAGAACGTCGCTCGAACATTTTAACGACAAAACATTACAAAGAGAACAGAGACGACACTCGTTCGCAAATTTCTGAAAATCAGCTAAAGAAGACCTCAGCAACTGGAAACAAAATTTTTCGCATAAAACATGAACCACAAAACTGAAATTGCAACGAAGTTTAATTTAGCGTACACATGGACGTGGAGTAGAAAATGTCACGACGAGACGTGTTATTTGCATGATTTAATGACGAGCAGGCAAAATAAAAATAGATCAGACCAAAATAAGCCAGATTATAAAATACTGCACGTCAATTTGCAGGGCTGTCTCATGCGCGAAAACAACACATTGAACACCTCTCCAACTTTAGACACACACAAATAAAAAAAACCATCCATTGACGTCAGCAAGAAATAATGTACGAGCACGGGTCAACCCGAAAGGCCGAACTATTCTCATTTTTTCCCGCCATTCAACAATTTGAGGCAATGAGTTTCTTATTCCAACAATGGATATATTCCTGGGTATCACGCAAAAATCAGCCCAGACTAAGGAACTTAGTTTCAGGCGCCTATATGAGCTCAAACCCCATAAAAAAGTTAGTCCCCAGGGATGCGAAAATACGTTTCGAACAACCCGAAGAAAAACACTCGCTATTTGCAGTCCACAAAACATATTGGGACTCATGAAGAATGTAAAGGTAGGGGCTATGAGTGAACTAGTTGAGTTCCAGAGGACCCACGCAACCCGAATACGGGGTTAACCGACGCCATTTATGCACTTCAGAGCACGTGACACAATGGAAGAAAAACAATATAATAATAATAATCTAGTAATGAAGAAATCGTGCATAAATGATCAAACGCTTTACAACAAACAAGTCTTCCGTTTCACTGAATCTGCGAAATTAAACGGCAAGAATGTTATATCTTGGCGCCATGAAATAACACGGGCAAGCTTCTATACCAATTACGGTACATGCCGCACACGAACAATCCTTCGCTTTAATACTCGGATGAAAGCTGGGTAATTACGTCATCAATGCATTGATACGCAGACTGATGCCGTAACAGCCAGCGGGATAAAAAATATATATATTTATACAGTACATTTATGTGGTGTCTAGGCTAGAGTGACAGGCAAAACGACGTGGTTAAGTGCCGATTGCAAATTTCGCCTGACGAGCAAGCATCGCGGTACTCACACAACCGCCTTCTGCGTGGCAGGGGGCTTTTATCACGACGGATTTGCCATCAAAACTACCAAGGAAACTGGTGGTTCCCCGTTTAGCAACTACAGCCAACGTCACACATGTGCTTGACAATTATCTTCTCAGGTGTACTTTTACTAGGAAAAAAAAATAGATGAAAAGAGAAAAGGTTGCTCGTACTTCCGATGGACTCACACGCACTGACTTCCCTCCGTGTTACGACCAGAAGCCCCCGGGATTCCTTCCGGGCTTTCTTCTTTTTTCTTTAAATGATTCACAAAAAATTACTAGACTTCTATCCAAAAATCCGTAAGAAAAACCCTGGAATTCATCAGAATTGATTTTGTTTCCAGATGAAAAGATGTAGAAAATACGGGTACAGTACTGTGTTACTATTGAACTGGATGAACCACAAGATGTTTTTCATTTCAACCACGAAGGATTTTTCGCGTTTGAGTGGAATACGCGTAGTATTTTCAGTTTCGAATGATAAATCATGATTGAACGAAATTCCTTTGGCAAAATTCGCATTTGTTAATAACTTGCATATTCCGAGTATTAAAAGCAATTGCACTGAAAAATGAGTCAAATGAATGTCCTCTCAATTTTGGTTCGAATGATTGTCAATGCTACGGTTTTAATTCCACATGGGTACTTGGAACGAATTGCCAAAAATTTAGAGCTGGCACATGTTTCCTCATCAGGATTGAAAGCTTGTGCTTGAAGGTTATTTTAGTTTTGAGCTCCTTGAAATGACCCGCGGAAGCCAGTCAAGTACCGGAAAAAATTCTGATCGAACGAGTAATGCTTCGGAATACGCTAAAATTTCTTTGAATTTTAAATTTTTATTGTTGGCTCTTTGAGGAGAGGAATTCTGTGTATTACTCCAAGTCCAAACAAGGAGGAAAATATCGTAGTCCCTTCCAATGTCGTAACCGTTTAGAGCTACGGAAGACGCCCAAACAATAATCTTTTGCATCGCCGCCTCTTCCCTTTCAAACGCGAAATGACTTTAAGATTTGAATAACAATGAAGAATTTTTGCGTTCGAGCAGAATATGCATCACATTTCATGTTTCAAATGAGACGTCATCATGAAAACGAGTTTCCTTTCGAGGAATAAACCGCTTTACAGTCATGAAGCGGATGACGCGCGTTCCGAGATTGTCGGAGTTTTTAAACGTCTTTTATGTTAATCACTGTTCATTCCAATTTACAGTATTCTGATGTACTCATCTTCAAAGGGATTGACGAATAGCCATTTTTTTGCAGATGAAAAATAACATCGCGAAAACAAAACATGCTTGAGTAGCCTTAGCCAAAACCAGCCCCATTTTTGTTTCCCGCCAAGGAGACTTTCAAGTACCGCACACACATTGTGTACAATAATTTCTGAACAAGGGCAGCAAACGCAATAAGAAGCTTAGGTGTTGTTCGCCCACATTTACACAAACACACACCTACACAGCAACCATGGGGTAAAAATCCCTAGCTTTTTCCATAATTTCATTTTTATTTTTCGGTGTTGATGCCACAAAGTTGCCTGAAAATCGCCGCGGCTGAAATAACGCGACACGCAAGCCAGTTGAGATTATTCACAACCAACATAATTTCCGCCGCCCCTCACCTCGGCGTCCATCTCGTCTATCTGCCCCCAACCCCGTGAAAACCCGATTGCCTCATGGTCTCGGGTCCGAACACCGTACACTAACTCATCCGGGATCCCCCTTCATGGGGCTTTCAGCGGGATTGCAAAGCGGATAAGCTACGAGCTTGCCTAACACCTAACCCAGCCGCAACCCGCATCGGCCAAGATATGCATTCTGATACTGTACTTCATATCAGAGAGGGTTCTTTACTCGGTAACGCCTGCGACGAGGGGACAAAATAAATCCAAATTAAAAAAATATATATATACGGAGAGAAAGAGCAAACATGTCCCGCTTTATGACACCAGGTGATCCCTCGAAATTGTATCTTTCCTTCCGAAAATCTTTTCCATACCAAATTTAAGAATACATTTTTGTTTATCGTTTCCTCTGGAGACTCGGAATCAAGAAATGCAAACAATAATTGTCAAACTAAGGTGTTTTGGTCATCTAGAATTCTAGGTATCCGTTTAAAATTTTTGCGGTAACCAACGACTTGTAAATCTTCTGCACGTTGAAAAGACAAATACTGATTTTCAAATTAAATCACTCATTCTTTGCGCTATATACAGTAAAATCCTAAGCAGAAAATTCAAAATTCCGTGTTCATGCGATGCAAATGCACCCTGTAGCGATATCCAAGGAAAACTACCTCCCAAAAATAGAGCACAAATTATAAATGTTTTTGAGGAACATACTGCTAATTCAAACGAAAGAACCGACAAAGAAGAGAATAATACTGTAATATACGATTAAGACTTCCTGGATATAAAAGAGAGTTGAAATGCCGTTAGGAGAAGATTGCATTTTTTTCTATTTTTATTCCGTTGTTTACATGGGTTAATTTCTGTTTTCTTTTCCAACGGTAAATCTCAATTACATGCCATTCACTTCAGACTTTTGTGCGGCATCATGATGAAATATCATGATTACAGCAGGGATTCGGACAAATTTTCGTTGAAGAAAAATATGGCCCCATCATCGCGTAAACCCAATACGATCATCAAAAAAATCACTTTTTCTCCTCAATCATAACTATAGGGCTATTTTCTACCAGTACTTGATTTTTAAATTTTACCCAAGGATCATTACCATCTGAATGCTTGCTGAGAAACGTCTATATCTTTGGCAAAGAAGTCGACCATTTCCCTTGATGGGCCGCGACACTGGGAATACTAAATACGAGGAACAGTGTTTAAAAGCGAAGGATCTATGAGCGAACCGCCATTCAGTAGTTCTGACGTTCGTTCCCAGCACAGCAGGGAGGATTATGAAGAAAGAAAGAGACGGGCTTCTCGTGGGATGAAAAATAGCCGCGAGGTTTGCAACGGGCCCAAAGAAGACGCACACGTTTTGCGCTTATTTTATTTCTGCTCTAGCGGAAAGTAATGAACAGTAATGATCGAGGGAAATGTTATGCAGAAAAGACAGCACCGCGAAGAAGAAAAGAGATAAAAAAAATAGAGGAGAGAAACTGGTGGTCACGCAAGGCCCATCTCAGGTCAGGCGAGTCACGAAGCGCATAACCCATTCGAGACCGATTCCCAACCCGGCGCACGCCGGACACGTTACGCTCGCTTCATTCCGCCTAATGTCTTGACAACTGACTCGTGTCAGTCAGGTTATCTCTATTTCTTTCCCCCCCCCCCCATCTCTCTTTTCTGCTCTGCCGAAAAGACGGAAAAAAAGGGGATCCACATTTGCATGTTTCCTGAACATTTCGTTCGTATTCTGCACGATAAAGGATCATCACGCACACTGACGACTCTTAATTCACGGCGTTTCTCAAATCTTTTCTTTTTTTTCGTTAGACCTTTCTCGCGTGATGTATCACGAAAGGAGAATGGAATCACTGACACGTACGGTACTGAATCGGTACGAAGGACTTGAAAATAGTTCGTCAGGAGTGAATGGAGCACATATCCCCTGAACTGTTATGAAAGAATAATTCCTGTCGCGGGGACTTTCAATGGCTGCAAAATCAGGATATGAGAGGGAGTTCAAGAGAATTCAAATTCAACCACGAGTTATAATTATTTTTTCACGGCAATTTATTTTTTGAAATATTACCTTTCCAAACCTAAAACGAAGTAGACACACAGCTTTTCGATCATCTACAAAATTGATTTCATAATTTTTAAATAAGGGGCCTAAAATTAACCACACATAAAATTTTCGTCCGATTTCCGCAAGGAAGCTAGATACAGTACCGTATGTTTCGTTTTGTTTTATAGAGATCACGTTTCTGCTCGAAAATGTGGAAAGTTTCGTGAACGTTTCAGTTTTTTTTCTTTTCGGCGCAGCGAGGAATGAAAAAAATATTAATCCAGCATTGGGAAAGAAGCAATGGACTGACCTGTTCATATTTCTCAAGCTCCTGGTGGTAGATTTGGCGGATTTGCGAGAGTTTGGCGCGGTAGTCCGAGTGCTCGATGGCGTGCTCGGGTGGGCCGGAAGCGGCGGCCGCGGCGGCATTCGCTGCCACATTGGCGCCGCCTGCCTTCTCCGGTCCAGCGACGCCCTCTGCAATCAACATGTTGTCTAAACGCATCAGCTGCGGATCCGGAGGCTCCTCTTCCTGCGTATTTCGCAGGCTCAATACTGAAAAAATCACACAAAAAG